ATCGATGAGAGTATTGTGAAATGAGCCGCCAGGTAGGACCTCTCTCTCTCTCTCTCTCACACACACACACACACACACACACATATATATATACAGGTACAGGATGGGGACCAGTTTCAGATGGAAGCTGAAATACCGGCCCAGGCAGGGTTCGAATCAGGCCTGACCGGGCTCACAGTGAGACAGAAGCAACTGAAGAGCAAGCATTCTGCCCCCCACGCAGATTTGTAAGGGATTCCGCACCAGCACTAGGCCCTCCCGCCCTTTTTGTCGTCCTTCGTCCACTTGGTCCTTGTCTTTTTGTCTTTTTGTCTCTTTCTCTTTTTGTCCTTCTGACCTTTTTCGGAGCACTCTTCATACGCCTTCCCACGGACCCACATGTCCGTCCCTCCCCTCAAACCAGTACCTGACCCAGATACCATCCCAATTTCTTCAGGGTTCGAATCAAGCCTAAACCGAGCCCACAGTGAGACAGAAGCAACTAAGGAACAAGCATTCTCCCCCCCGGGCAGATATGTAAGGGATTTTGCACCAGCACTAGGCCCTCTTGCTCTTCTTCTTTTGTCGTTTTGTTTATTTGTCCTTTTGTCTTTTCGCCTTTTTGACGCTTCGATAGGGCACTCCTCATACGCTCTCCCACGGACCCACACGTCCATCCCTCCCCTTAAAACCAGTACCTGGACCACATACCACCCTGGTTTTCTAGCCGTCACTATTCGGGGGATGCACTGTACACAGCACAAACGGCGAGACCACCTAGGAAGAATCGTGATTATAAGACCCAGGGATTGTGCCGAGAAATGTAATTGGACGGATGCACGGCCAAGTTGCACTGGATAGTGACGAGGCACCAGCCCCTCGGATCCTATCGATAGGGAGTGACCACTCGGGAACGCCCATTCTTTATTCGTTATTCTTTTTTCTTTTTCCTTTTTTCTCTTCTCTCTTTTTGTCGCCACCCTCCTACCCGTCGTCGTCCTCTTCTCTGTTGACCCTATTCTCACCCCAAATATATACAAGTACGTCTGCCGAATGTTATTACATATGCATTGCTAGTTGAGGTGTATACTTGTGGTTGCTTTTCGTTTCTACGGAGCGGAGCCTGCATGGCAAAGCGATTGTTCGGCTATGGCGGACTGGGACTTCACAACCGGAGCGGAGAAGGACATTCCGATAACGCCGGAACCCGAGGAGGATATCACGGCGGAGGAAGCGGTACATTTCTCGATTGTGAACCTACTTTGTGGTTGCTTGGGGATTGGCCGTCTGTGTCTGTCTTTGAATTGGATGTGCTTATTGCAGGAAAGTAACCCCTCTGATGAGCCTGTTGAGTGGCAATGGCGAAAAAGCTTTTAGGGGAGCCACACCCCTCCTGCGGCGTTGATCATCCCATGAAGTGCAAACCGGGCCCCCACATGTTTATTCCCAGACGTTCTTCCATATCGAACTTCGCTGCTCGCTGGCTTGGTTTAACTCCAGTTTTTCTGTTGTAATTACTTAAGGTGGTTCTTCAGATTTCTTCCATAATCATTGCTCGAATACAGGAATTCCTGTTTATTGGCAAGTGGCTATTGGTTTAGGTTCTCTGTGATTAACATTTAATATGGTTTCGCCTATATCTCCCCTGCCCCTTTCTGGTTTCTGTCACATCATCCCCTTTGACCTCCTGTGGTACATAAAGTAACAAGTATCCATCGTCACCTATCTCTATGACAACTGATGATTCCTACTTGCTACCTACCATTCACACTCACATCGATTGTGAACAGTAATAGTTCCACCCTCACCTGCCTTAATTCTTTTGTATGTATGTTTGTGTATCATCAGTATTATGGTATGACATCAATACCCATGGATGCAACCACTTCATCATTTTTGTATTGTTGGGGGATACTTGGCTTGGTGGCCGTGGAAAACGGTATGATTGGGACATGACCGGACCTGGCCTATCACTGCAATGGTAGAGTGCATGACAATTTTCGTCATGGGATTATCTGAACACACACACGCACACAAGTAGGGTGTATAGGTCCATGTTCTAGCGGTAGGTCCATTCGATTTTGGCCATCCTATCCATGGAAGCAGTGTTAGGCCAGCCACCAGTCGGAAACTTAGCCCGTTTGTCGAAATGAACAGGCGCTTCAGCTGCTCGTGAAAACGAAAGAAGGGGATCTAAAACAAGGAAGAATCTAAAACGAAGAAAAAGCATCTAAAAAAAAAGACTTAAAGACTAGGTTACCAGCCCGGACGTCCGGGACCCTTTTTGGGTCCGGGTTGTCCAATCGGACAACTCCCCTGGCTGTCCGAGCTGGGCCCGGTGTCCGGGCTGGTTTAAACATTAGTGTGGGGGTTGTAGGGGTTTTGGGCCTGCGGGGGTGGGATTTTGGGTACGAAGTACCCCTGGGAAGGACGGGCCATTTTTGTGAGTCCGGTAGGGCCTCCGAAAATGAAAACGAAAATGGCCCGCTCGGGGCCGTCAGATCTACGAGATCTACGGCCCAGATCGGGCCAAATTCGGATTCGAATTGCACGTTGTAGTGCTGCGCGCGACTTTTGGACGTTGCCGAAATCGCACGCCAACGGCCACCACCCGAGGTGTCCTCCAGCCCCTGTGTAGGTGTGTACCCGCCTCCTCCTCCATGTCCCTCTCATCGGTCTCCTCCTCCTCCTCCTTTCCCTCCGCCTCTTTCTCCTCCTCCTAAAGGGAGAGACATGCAAAGCAATGCACCTGATAAAGAATCATCCGCAAGGCAGTCTGTTATTAAAAAAGATTGGAAGCGTATGGAAACGGGTGTGTGCGTGCATAATCTTAAGTCGGCAGTAGGTGGAATGAACAACTTAGGCAGCGCGTCTCATCAAGTCAAAACTGAGGCAGACTGACTACCTCGCCGGTTGCATCAAGGTCATTATCGAAGCCAACTCTTTGTTGGCGGCTGTATGATTGTTTTGTGGAGTTAGGATGGTCAAATTTTATTTTTGTGTTATTGAATGTATCTAATGATGATTTAGATTTCTTCAGTTATCTTTTTCGATTGGATGAACATTAACGATGGTCGATGTAATTATGTGTGGTTATTATAGCTTTTTTTTTACTATGTGTCTAAGGGACTAGGATTAATTTTGGTTTCACGCTTGGTTGAGACTGTCCTAGTTGACCGGCGTCATATTTGTACTTAGCAGATCAGCGCCCTAAGGAACGAACAACGCCCGGGCCCACTTGGCGTTTTAACCACGCGTCCCTATACTACAACGAGCGAGCAAACGCCCTCGGCTGACCTACCCCTGCAGCTGCATGTAAAAGCTTTTGCATGTGGGTCAGTAGCTCGGTAGGGATACACCCCTAAGGGTGGTGACAGCCCCTTAGGGAAGGCAAGTTGTGTCCCGCGGGAGCCTATCCTGTTGTAGGGGACCACGAGAAGTACCGCTGGCGCACCCGGCTAGAGTGGTGAAGAAACGATGCGACCCCATCCATCTCGACGGTTCGTAGGATTATTTTGCGTTATTCCAGAGTTGGCTCTCTTTTTGTTTTTGTTTAACCGACTAGAGTGGTGAAGGAACGATGCGACCCCATCCATCTCGACGGTTCTCTCTTATACACATCTAGATGTGTATAAGAGACAGGTTTAACTCCTGCATGGCATGGCCGGGAGGGCTCTCGCCTTTGTGGAAAAACGGGAGCTGATGCGCTCGACACCAGGATTAGGGATTCGACACTTTCGCCTATGCGGAGCGGCTTCTGCGCTAGCGTGTGGGCATGTGCGCATGCGTTTGCGGTCGTGCGAGTGTTGCAAGACGCTGCTGAGGGCAGCGCCATAGCCAGGCCGCATAGTCGGGCTTGGCTTGGACAAGCCAGCTGAGGTGGCGGTGGTCTTCGTGTAGAGAGGGAAGATGTGGGAGAGAAGACATGAGAGAGAGAGACAAAGATGAGGATGATGATGTGAGGGCACGTACCTGGTCTTGGCGATGGTCTACAAGGCTCAACATCTTCATGTACATCGGTTTTGCTGCTGACGTCAACCGGATGCATTGTCAATTCGTAGGCCACTAGTAAGTTGTACGATCGTAGTCTGGGCGCTGAGCACCAGGTAGGAGGAAGGACTCTGGATACATATGTTGGTGGTGGAGAGAGTATGCTCTCACTGACATTCGGATTCAGTGCTTTGTTTCTCCGTTGGTGGAATATCAGTGCATTACTGCTTTCTGGACAGCGTTTGGACTTGCAGGCTTTCAATGTTATTTTGCACTGTGGGATTTCAATGTGATTTTGCACTCTGGGATTTTTGTAATTTCCCTATTGCTCATTCTCCTTGCATACCAATCACACTACTACTAAATATTTTCCTGCTATTTCGTTCCTGCGTCGTGGATAACCCGCTGTGCTAAACCACCGGTACCTTTCCCCACTTGAAAATAAAAGTCGCGCTGGTATATGCAGAAGCCAAGCGGGAAAGGGCCACCGTTGATAAATTTCACTGGTGGCCTGTCTTTCATTTCGGGCCTCCGAAACTGCATGTGGCCGAATATGGGAAAGGTACTGGTGGTTTAACAGGGACGTGGCCAACCGGACCAGAATGGCTGGTGTTGCCAAGGAAAAGGAAAATCTTTTGCACCCCTGTCGGGTCTTTTTTTTCCTTTTTTAATGTGAAGCACAGCAGCGATCCGGGCTGCAGCGAACTGGTGGCTGAAGAATGGAATTCCCCAACTAGGCTGTAACTTTACAATAACAGGTTAATGTCCTGGGGCAGCAACCATGGGTCACGACCCGCCACTGCTGAGGCAGTAACCATGGGTTAGTCGCCACCAGTGCTATCGAACACGGCACTGATGCCATGCCTGTCAACCTCAAGCAGGGTAGGAAGTAAGTATGTTTGGCTCTCCACGAATAAAACTGGTAAAATGTTCCACATGCTGCTCCAGAGTGGACAATTGATAGGATGAAGTAGGATGAACTGTATGGCAACCTCTCACAGGGCAATGCAACTGGAGAGAGAAGAACGTACAGATATTTTAACGTCGTCAAATTTCCAATTTCTTCTGGCAGAAAGCCTCTGAAATAGTTTCTTGAAATGTCCCTGCAAACAGACAATCAATTGACAACCAGCATCGGCAATGAGGTGTGAAGGGAAAAGTTCCATGTAAAAATGTGGAATATATACGGAAATGATCCATAGTTCATATCATGATGCAAACTCAATTTTGAGGCAAGTACATGAATTGCAGAACAACGATGACGAGTAGGAGAGAGCAGAGAGGGAAAGCGGTGAGAACAGGACAAGAGGCATGGAAGAATACTATCAATGTCAACTCTCCCTCGTCTCCCCAACATACCGTCACCCTCATATCTCCTCCTCCATTAGTGCTCATCAATAACAAATGAGGACATGACCGAACCAAGAATCAACGTCTGATGGATTTCTCTAGCACACCCAAATTCCCCCTTGGTAGCACTACAAAGCCCAGTGGGGCATCAGCATCCCCTAGCGGGCTGTACAGAGGACAACACAACCCAGAGGTCGCCAAAGGGTGGCTGTACCCATCTGGATGGGGGGGTATGGGCGGTATTTTTTGGTAGAGCGAGTCCAGGTGACTGCCAGGGTTGGGGTCAGGTCACTCAAACCCACCCCCCCAACGGGTGGCTGTACCCATCTGGCTGGGTATGGATGGGACGGTATGGGTGGTTCTTTCTGGTGCTTCGGGTGCAGATGATGGCCAGGCAAGGGTTTGGGTCAGGTCACTGATGTGGAGCCATTCCCCAGGGCCCGGGCCATCCCAAGTACATTCAGTGCAGCAATCGTCAAATCAAACAAGGGAAGTCCCGATCGAAGACCATCATGCACACTATTACTGAGAGTGCTTGTGCTGATTTGAAGTTGCTCATGGGGGAAGGCGTGCATGAATGCCCTTGAAAAAGAGGACTCTCTGGGAGCCGTTGCTCCGCTCCAATGAAGAGGATGGAGGGTCATCAGGATATGGCACAACATTGACATTTGGCATAGCGAAAAGGATTCAGAGAGAGTTCGATCTATACTCCAATTTGGGTTGACAAAGGTAGGAAAACAGACGTTTGATATTCTGCCATAGTGGAAGGCAGAGGGGGTGGTTGTCATAACAGCAGAACAACAGATGTTATTCCCTCCTTCGCCAATGACACCTGGATCTATACTCCAATTTGGGCTGACAAAGGTGGGAAAACGGACGTTTGATATTCTGCCATGATGGAAGGCAGAGGGGGCTGTTGTCATAACAGAAGAACAACAGATGTTATTCCCTCCTTTGCCCATCACACCTTATTGGTTTTGTGTGTGCCTGCATCAAGCTCGAAGAGTGGATCACTCCTCACATGCAGGGAGGACTGAAAGGATCTCAAGCTGCAGTCAGTATCCCGGGTCTCGGTCCCACGGCCATGGTTTGGCAGTCCCAGCAGCCGAAGAGCCATTCCGGAGTCCGTAGTTCCGGTCGGATCCAATAGGTCAAGCATCATAGCTGGTACTCATAGGCCCAGTACGGGACAAAGAAAGCCCAAGTCCCAAAGTCCAAACTTGCAGAAGCATCCCGGGAAAATCCGGTGTGTTCTGGAACTGGCAAAGTCCGGCCGACAGGCCGCAGAGACCAGCACTGGTCTGAAGCTGACAGAAACATCAACTGTGCTGCTACCGGTAGTTATAGAGCTACAGTGCAGCACAGACTTAACCTGTCAATTTGTACGCTGCAGAAGCTCTGCTGATTGCTTGTGCGGTCGGATGAAGGCAGTCGGGAAAGCTTGAGGAAGACGAAGGGCACTCATGCGCCATAGATGATCGTCATAGATCAAGGCAGAAGATGAGAGAGAGGGAGAGACAAGAGTAGCGAGTGCATTCAGAGAGTGTGTGAGCGATCCAAGAGTTGACAGCAAGCCACAGAGAGAGAGAGAGAGAGAGAGAGAGAGAGAGAGAGAGAGAGAGAGAGAGAGAGAGAGAGAGAGAGAGAGAGAGAGAGAGAGAGAGCAATTACCTGGCTGATGATGTTGGGGAACGACCATAGCCGCTTGGTATCGAAATTCAATACTAATATCAAATGTTCCGAAGTATTTTCATCTCCGATTGGACAAATTTGCCATCTCCCCGCTTGTATGAATGTTTGTTGAGTCTTCATTGTGATGCATGTTCCACTGTGAGAGTGGAATCGAGCTGTTTCATTGCACTGCTAGCAGAGCGTGCTCTCGTTGCACCGCGAAGGAGGTGATTGCAGGGCAGCGCTGATTAAGGCTGGCGAGTGATTGGGGGTTGATTGCATTGGTGGAAGGCCGGTGGAAGAAGGGTAGAGCAAGGGGGATTGAGAAGTGACGTATCGGGAGTCTCCATCCAGTGACGGAGAGTGACATCGAGCCTGCAGTGAAATGCTTTTCAAACCCAAGCCATGTCGTTTTCTGTAATTTAGCTTTTGTTTTGTGAACTTGCCAAAACTTTCCAACTTGGATGCGCCCGTGCTGCTGGTTGAACGTGGTGATGAATTTTCATTGATATCATCTGGAGTCTTCCAATTTCTGTTGTTGTCAAGTCCGATGGTGTTGAGTCTAGGTTCGAGTAGACACTTGACAGTTGGAAAGCGACCACATAAAGTAGCGAGCGCGGACACAAGGCTATCCTCAACGACAGATACTGACCGACATGAGAGTGAACCATGCGGCCATACGTCTTGAGGGGGACCTTACTTGGTTCAACAAGCCACACCATCCCATTTGCGGCATTAAATAATTAATAATGTGGATGTTGCTGGCAGTCCTCAAATTGCTCGTTGGCTTGTTGACCTCACTTTGAAACCCGAAGTAATGGCCATAGGCAAGAAGGAAAAGTAAGTTGGAATCAAGCCACTGGGCGATAGCCTTCGTGTTGAGAGATTAGGTCCTACGTGGTAGGTAGGAGGCAAAGCAAAGTTGTCTCCGACCACCAAGGACGACCTTCCGATGTTCTTTTTTTTGGCCTTGTGATCCGAGAGGCCCTGCTGAAGAAGGACTCTACCCTTGACATCGCCCTTCTCTCCCAGTTAGCTCTCCACTCTGCTAAACAAACTGCGGCTTTACGACTTAATGTGGAAAAACTTTGTCAGCTGGCAAGATGAGGTAATAAACATACTTGCGGTGCATGCCGTGCGCGGCGTCGCGGCACGTGCGGCGCAGAGCGCAGCCGGCGAGCGCACGGCATGCGGCGCATCGGCCAAAACAGGGGTCGTGGGGGGAAAAAAATAATTCGGGGGGAAGTGGGAGGCCCGGAGGGGTACTGGGGGAAATTGCCTCCGTGGGCGCGAAAAAACAATTTCGGGCTGCGCGGAGGCCCGGTAAAAATTTTGGGGGGAGATCTGAGTAGTTCGTTTTCGAACTACTCAGGCCTACCCCACGCCGCCATTGGGCACCCCGGCACTTCACCGACCCGCCAGTTGTGCCTTGTCTCCTTGGCGGCCGTCGTTTGGTCCGTTTCGTCATCGTTCGTCGTTGGTGATGCCCGCCTGTCACCAGCAGCGCCGGCCCGACCAAGAAACAGGAGGCAGCAAGAGGCAGCAGCAGGCAGCAGGAGGCAGCTGGAGCAGGCAGCGGGAGCGAGGAGGAATCACCAAGCCGCTTGAGGTGGGTTGCCACCAGCTCTCTCTCTCTCTCTCTCTCTCTCTCTCTCTCTCTCTCTCTCTCTCTCTCTCTTCGGTCTTCCCTTCTCCTCCTGTCTCTGTCCTTCGAACACTTCACCATCCAATCACCTTTTTTTCTTTTTTT